GTGTTCCTTCCAATTTAAATGTGCATCTATATTTATACCCAGGAGACAGTGAGAGTTAACAGATTCTAAGGGAATATTTAGGTATTGGTAGTTGATAAGTAAGGGGCGTTTTTGGTATGGTCTAAATTGCAAAATATTTGTCTTTTTGAAATTAATCTCGAGGTTGTGATCTTGGATCCAGCAATTTATTACATTTAAATTAGAGGTTAGGAGATGGTGTAAATCTGTGCTATTGGGACAGGGAAGAATTAATGAAATATCATCAGCAAAAATAACACAGGGTATATTACATATATTCAGAAGGCCATTCACATATATTAAAAAAAAAAACAGCCCAGCACACTACCCTGAGGTATAGAGTGTTTTAAGAAAAAATTTTTAGACATTACAGTTTCAACAATTCTGGTTTGTGGGACGCGTTGATTAAGGTAAGATACAAACCATTCGTAGGCCAGACCTCTAACACCCACAATATAAAGTTTATTTAATAGGATCGAGTGAGAAACCCTATCGTATGCCTTGCTCATATCTAAGAATATACCAATAGCGTGTTGTTTCTTGTCAATTATCTTTAATACTTCCCTTATGTATTTATATACTGCGAGTACTGTAGAGATACCCTTTCGAAAGCCATATTGTCCGTTATTTAATATATTATATTTTTCACAAAATGTATAGAGTCTGTTATACATGACTGCCGCAAAGAGAAGTGCTATTGGACGATAATTATTGCAATTTTCGGGATCGTCTTTTTGTGTAGCGGTTTGACTATTGCTATTTTTATTAAGTCTGGGACAATTCCTTGCGACAGTGATTGAATAAGAAGGGAAAGTGGTGAGGCAAGTTCATCGGCACAAGTCTTTATTAAGGTTGGTGGTATTTCATCAAATCCATAGCTTCTTTTATTTTTTAAGTTTTTAATGATATTAAATACTCTATTGGGTTAGTTGGCTCGATAAATATAGAGTTATTGATAGTAGTGGCGGCAGACTGAGCTTGTGAGCGAGAATTGTTCGCGGGAATCCCCCAATGAGGTGAAGAAAGTGTTCAAATGGTTTGCAATTGTTATGGGATCTTCAGTAAGCATATTATTTATTTTAAATTATTTCTAGGTTTCTTTTTTTGTTTTATTTGTACGCTCCTTCATTATTTGCCACATTGTTGTGATTACATTATTTGAATTTTTTACTTTATTTTTATATTCGATTTTTTTTGCAGTGGCTACTGTTTTCTTCAATATTTTTTCGTATTGTTTGTAATGACTTTTTAAGGTGTTATTGTTAGTTTGTGATACAAATATTTTTAGTAAGCGTTTATTTTTACAAGATATTTTTAAAACGTTGGTAAGCCAAGTGTTATGTTTTTTATTCTTCAATAGTATTCGTTTTTTAGGTATATTGTTATCTAGAATGGATTGAATTTTTTTATGGAATGAATTAAAGTTAGTGTTTATGTTTTTACTCTTCGAAATTATATCTTTCCAATCAGTTTTCTTAAGTTCGGTATTAAATATTTCAATATTTTTTGAATTAAAAATTCTCTTTTTCATGGACCAATTTTTTGTATTTTCAGTTTGTACATTATTAATACTGACAATAACTCCCTTATGATCTGAAAATCCATAATCTTTTGTTTTAATTGTCAAAGTATTGTTAGTATTTTGCATATTACTAAATATTAAGTCTATACACGTAGTAGAGGTTTCGGTAACTCTGGTTGGTTCTTTGACATACTGAAGGAAACTAAAACTTTTCATGAGTGTTAAAAGATTAAAACTTAAGTTATTTGATACTAAAATATTGACATTAAAATAACCTCCAATAATAATATTTTTACATTTGTCTTTTTTAGTAAGTAAAAGTGTTGCAGTAGCTTTGTTAGTGTTTTACAAAACATTTCAGGAATCCTAGTTTTATTAGGCCAATACAAGACTATCAGAAGTAGTTTAAACTTAGGTATTTCTATTGCACATATTTCAATACAAGTTCTAATGAAATACTAGTTATATCTTCCCTTTCTTTAAAAATAATATCTTCTTTTAAAAAGTATACATACACCTCCCCCTTCACAACTAGATCTACAAAAACAAGATGCGAGCTTATAACCGTCTATATGAAGAAGATCGATTTTTGAAGTAGTGATATATATTTCTGATATGCAGATTGCTTGTATATTTTTTTCTTCTTCTGTTGCAGCTTCTAATAAGTGTCGTTTATTTTTTATACTTCTTATGTTTTGGTATAACACATCAAAGTTAGTGAAGAAAATTATTATTATTTATGTTCAGTAATTCGCATTGTGTACTTGTTGATGGTTTAGGATTTTTCACATCATGTTTATTTGTTTGAATTTCGTGTTGGTTTTTGTCGACGCTTAGGCCGTGCTTTTGCGTTGTTTGAGAATTTGTGTTTGATATCTGGTCTATCTTATATTCTCTACCGTTAATGAATAGTTTATTATTGCTAATGTTTGCCTTTTGTCCACTTTGTCGTGCATTAATTAAAATAGCGATCATTTCTTTTCTTTTTTTAGTGAATCTTCATTTAGGTATTCTGATATGGCTAGTCCTGTACTTCTGAAATAATGTCGATGCTGTAGAATGTAATTAGTAATATTTTTGCTTAATAATTCAATAATTATCGGTCTTCGCTTTTGTATATTCCCCATTCTTTCTACTTCTTCTATATAGCCTGAGAGGTTAATGTTCATAATGTCTTGGAAAGCATACACTATTCTATCATGCAATTTTGCAAATGTTTGTCTTCCCAAGGTTGTTCATCTAAGCCATATAGTACAATTTTTTTTATAAGTATTTGTTTTATTCTCAGTATTCTGATAGTTTTTGTCAAACTTTTTATTCATAATAATCTCTTGTATTTCTTTTTTTTCTGTTTCTAGTTTCTTACTTATTTTTTCTAAGCTTTCAATATTTTCAGTTATTTTTTGTGTTAATTTTTTATCCTCGACGTTCTGTGGTAAGATTACTTGCGTTTCCTTTGTGACAGTTTTTGATGCAATATTTTTAATTTCAGTTATAATTGTTTCTTTTAGCTCACTGACTATTTGTACCTTTAATATGTTTAGTTTTTTATCCAATAATTCCTCCCAACGTTGTAAAATGAAAGGGCTAACTAACTTTTCTGTCGGCATATTAGTTCCAGTACCAGTAGTAGTAGTACTAGTCTGCTGCATATATAGCGAGCAGTCCCGTAGAGTGTCTCCGATAACGCTCGAATCAGAGTCGTCTCTGAAGATGCTATCATTTGCATTGGAGGTACATTTTGTTCTCAGAGTAACGTTACTTATACTAGGAATTTCATGTCGCGTATGGGGGTGTTTGTGTTTATAGTTTTAGGCATGTTACTACGGCAAGTTTGACAAATCCATTTCTTTTTGCGCTCAGGAGACATAATATTATAAAAACGTTTAGAACTAACATTTGCGCAATCTAGATGATAACTTTCATTGCATTTAGAATTGCCTGTTTGTTATAACTTGGAAACAGCCACTACACTTTAATGTTACTGACGCCATCTTGTGGTGTATATGAGGTCCAGTCTACTGATCAAGTACATAAAAGTCTTTTGTTCGTCAATTTCTATATTGCTATAAGATGGCACTACTCTCAACGTATTTGTACTTTAATAACTTAATTTTAAAGTTAAATAAAATTAAATAAGCGCCATCTATTATGTAAACTATATTAACCTATTTATTAGTCCAAGGCAGTCAATTCATTTGTGTTGTTTTAGTTTTATTCAGGTTAGATGGAGCTATATGTAACAGTTATATACTCTTCAATAATTATCATATTGTAGATTTAATCACACATTTTTTTTAAATTATAGATTTATTCGAGAAGTCCATTGTTTCTAATAACTAAGATTCATTTTTTCGTTTACTGGAGGCAGAATAACTAAATATTTTTTTAAATAAAGTTTGTAACGGTTTTTAATACATTTGAATTTAATTAACTACAATTATAAAAATTTTAGACTTAATTAATAGTTACTTTCCTGCAATTCTTATAGTATCCAATTAGTTCTTTTGATTAAATATGGTTTTGATGCACTTTATCATTTTTTTTTTGCTATTTCAGTAATTCCAATTTGGATAACACAAAAATCAAAATAAATCCATTTGCACTAGTCACTTTTACTGGATAACATTTGTAGTTTTTATTTACACTATAATAAACTCACTCAACTATGAAACAACAACAATAATTCACATTTAATATTTTTAAATGTATAATATTACGGAGCCGACGTTAACGTGACAATAGCGCGGGTAGTTCTATGGGGGAGTTTTATGTTAAAAGAAAGCCTATGGGAGAGTTTTATGTTAAAAGATAGCCTAAGGGGGAGTTTTATGTTAAGTGATAGCCTATGGGAGAGTTTTAGTAAAAAAAATGTTGTGGTAATATTTATTTTAAAACAATTTATGTTATAATGCGGTAAGAACACAACAAGGTGAAACTGAGGGCGCAATGTAGCAATGACCAATGATGTATCTTCTTCTTTTACTTGACTAAATTAGCTCTGTGAACTAGGAAACCGAACTAAAAAAAAAGTTTCTTTATATACTACAAACAACGTAATAACGTTTATTCGTTTGTAGTCCTAAAATAACTTTTGAAAATCACAAAAAGTTGTAAATTTTCATGATCGTTTGTAGATGATTGTAACATTAAAAAATATTGTAGATTTTGTAGGTATTCATAAAAAAGTTATAATTAAAAAAAATAAAGATAGCTGGCAAAATTGGCTGCCTGTCAGCGCAGAGCGTCAATACCGGAGAGATTCTCATAATTTTTCCTGTGTTCCTTGGCTAATCTTCCGTTGCTCTGCTCTGTTTAAAGACATAGATAATAATGACATGTATTATATACACACTATATAACAAGTTAAATTTTTATTGACACCACCGCTGTCTATGGTAAGCCCTTAGGAACTATTTAGAGAGTATTAGGTGCGACTTAACTCTATGATATCTGTTACCTGTTAGCCAAGTCCCATTAAAAGGCTTGTAGTGCTCGGTGAGTACATCTTCGAGCGTCGGTCTGCGGCCCTTCACTCTTCCGCCGTCTCCCGCTGGTGTGAGCAGGGCTATGCTGAAGACGATCAGTCCCAACACAGCCGCGATCACCAGCAGTGCGATGAGGATGCCGCGCCAGTTCCGTTGAGTCGGAGTTGTTGCTGCTAGTTCCTGTAACGAGTAATAATATTAATTATAGTAGATAGAATAATTCGTTCTACACATTCTACCTCTGTGGTGTGCAAATATTAATGGTCAATTAACCTACACAACAGCAATTATTGAATTTTTAACAACACAATTTTGTAACATTACTCAGTTGATTTGATAATTAATTAATTATATAACAGTTTCAAAAAAAATTCCAATAAGATATATAACATGGAATACTATAATGTATTATATTATTCCGTGATATGACAGTTTGGTAAAAAGCCATGATGAAACACACCGGCGCGGCGCTAGAACACCAAACAATTTTTTTTATATATAAGTGTGACAAATGAGCACACAGTACACCTGATGGTAAGTGGATGCTGTGGCCCATAGACATCTACATTTATTCTCGATTAAGATTTGATTCTTAATCGAGGCAGACGCGTTGTCACCCCTGAGGACTAAGATGGAATGTCTCGTTTTCAGTAAATAAGGGTTTCCGGATCTCTCTATAAATACACCCACCATACGAAACACAGCAGTATTCAGCTGCTATTTTACGTTGGTATTCTGTGTGGTCCTTCCACGGTCAATCCGAGCAATTCGTTCTATAACCATAATATAGCGGCAGCGTGGCTCTACCACGTATAAATCGGTAAAATAAGTTTTATATTACTGCTGCGCCATATTTTCAGTATAATATTAGTGAATTTTTAGAACCATTGGAATACAAGTTTCAACGAAAGTCAGCGGTCCGTAAAAACTAGAGACGAAAAGTGCCTTGTACAATTTTAATAAACATAAATGAGGGTTTATGGTCTGAACGTGTACAGAAACTAGACTTTTGAAATACATATATTTTATCACATAAATTTTTAAAGCACTGACAAAAGCATAAAAACACTAATACATTAGTTAAGTCGTAAGTCAGAGGAGTTTTTTAATCTGTAAATGGAATTTTCGGGAAGAAAAGGTTTGATTTTTATCAGTATGATAAGGTTTATCATACCTAAAATATTTTATATATGCCCACTGTTGACCATAGAGTTATTAGTTAGTATTGCTTCGTGGGGGGGGGGGGGGGATGTTGCCATAGCTATCACGCTTAGTAGGAGAGTTGGCATCTGCTGTTTTTTATTATTTTGAGTTATTATCAGGAAGTTATATCCTATTTCTATTTCAGAGTCCCTGTGTCGCAGTGCAGTCTTGGTTAGTGGATATTATTACACAACCTCTATAGGGTATCGGTATTTTAAAGATAGTACCTGGATGACCGAGCTTTGCTCTGTTTTAATTAAAAAAAATTATGCAATTAGTTTAATTAAAATTTTCGTATTTCTAAAAATACCAAAAAAAAGGCTCGAAAAAATAGATTTTGTCACAAAAGAAGGTAACTTGGAAAAAAAAGGAAAAAAGTCGGACCGAAGACAAGACGCGAACCTAGGCATTACGATTTCGCGACCGCTCGATATCCACGTGAGCTATTACGACAAGGTCAAAATTTACCTTCTTATATTGTAGCAGTTTTTCATTGCCTGAAAACAAGGACCAAAAGACATTTTCTAAAAATATACAAGAATTGCTCGTTTAAAGGTATAGGATAAAGAATTTTCTAACCTTCTAATACAAAAAAAAATGTTTTCATTAGGATTATATCTATCATTGGTATTAGGATGAAATAATTAACCATTGGTCCGTGGCAAACGTCAGTAAATTAGTCCAGTTTGTTGGGGATTTTGAAATTAAACTTTTAACAGAAACGCAGACTTGAAAAAGATTAAAAAATATATTTCCATGCTTCTGAAGCAGGTGCTAAGACAGAAAGGATTAAAGCCCCGACTTCAAAAGTTCTTATGTGGAAACTCTTTGATTACTAGCAGTGCCCCGCAGTTTACCCGCATATAATTCTAAAAAGAATCACTGATTGATTGGTTGATTTATAATACTTCAGTATAGACAACATTTTTGATAAGATTTTCATGTGGTATTAAAATATATTGGTTCACTCGGTTCTTATCGGGCGAGTGTTCGATATTTTTTAATTTTTTAAGAGCAAAGTTTATCTTCATAAAGTTGTCTATATAATGAAGTAACTTTCGCTCGTAAGGATTATATATACCATGCATAATAATACGCTCGTAAATCATTTCTTATTTTTATACTATGCTATTGCGGAATTTTTAGATAGAGAAAAGATCTATATTTTTGTCGAACATTGTATTTACGTATCACTAACTATTACGCCAGCGTAATCGGATAAAGCAGTTCGGGAGCGCTTTAAAATATTTAAGGCTAGCTGAGAGGTGTAGCCTTAATGCTAGATAGCCTATACAACTCCTCATGAATCTGGCTATCATATACAAACACAGAATTTTTTTAATCAGACTAGTATTTCCAGTGATTAGCGTGTTTAAACAAAGAAAAAGGCCTTCCGCTTTATTATCTTTATATACATAAATTACTATAGACTCCTAAACTACTTAACAGATTTTGGTCAAATTTGCACACCGTGTGCAGTTTGGTCTAACTTGAGAGATAGACAGTTATTTGCCTATGAGTGACCCACAATGTTTTTGCGAATTTAAGGATTTTTAATAGGACATGACAAAGGGTCGTCGAAAAGGGCAGGACAACGTCTGCCTGGCAAGCTAGTATTAGTATAGAGTGTATACTAGTATTACTAGTACTAGTATATACTAGTAAATCCTAAAGAATTATTATTTGTCTCTTTTTGGTGTCTCTTTATATATATATATATATATATATATATATATATATATATATATATATATATATATATATATATATTCTCCTTATTTTTCCACCCTTAGTCATCTTCTTGGTAAGTGTATTAATTGTTACATTCAACTTAATTAAAACAACGTGATATCACATTTATTAACTTTATATACGTTATAATGGACAATGTTGTTCTTTTTATAAAAGAAACCCTATTTAAAGATATGAAGACATGTTTTATTATAATGGCGTTGTTATCAGCTCTTTGCTTGTTCCTTTTCCTGTTTCAATTTTCCTCTGTCGATATCCACGGAATAATAGAAGATAGTGGATTTTCTTTCACCGCCACTATACGAAACGTAAACGTTTTGTAATTGCATGTAATACGCTTATCGAGTAGTGGCGGTATAAGAATTTGTACTAACCCATATCATCCCCTGGGTGTCGTCAGACGAAAATAAATCAGGAGCTGACCAGCATCCTCCTAACTACAAAAAAACTGCAGTTGCCAACCCGCTTGCCAAGCGTGACAACTATGAAAACTATCCCCCCTATGACGCAATCTATAGGGGGGGGGCAATGTTTAGCAGTAGAGTTTAATAGACTGTAACGGTAACAGTATTCCTCTCATATATTAGAGGTATTGAGTTTGAAACAGTGATGACATGTGGATTTGAGTCGTGGTACTTCACTGGTAGCCACATGAGTTAGTTCAAACTATGGAGAGGGTTATGCTAGGGGTTTCTCCGTGCGATAGACCTAGAAATGAGCGTATCCGCAGTTGGACCAGAGTAACCGACATAGCATAACGGATTATTAAGCTGAAGTGGCAATGGGTCGGAAATGTCACTGGCCCATACCGCAAAGGAGAAAGCCGATCTTCTAGGCTCTTTCTTTGCGTCCAACTCGACCCTCGATGACGGGGGAGTACGCCGCCGACCATCCCGCGGTGTGAGTGCTCCATGCCGGAAGTGCAGTTCACACAGCGCTCGGTTCGCAAAGCACTCCTCTCCCTGGACATCCACAAGTCGAGTGGACCTGACGGAATCCCCCCATTTGTGCTGAGGACGTGTGCTTCAGAGTTGGCACCGGTTTTAACGCGTCTTTTCCGGTACTCCTACTCTCTAGGCGTAGTTCCAAAATCATGGAAGACGGCTTTCGTCCTCCCGATCCCAAAAAAGGCGACCGCTCAGACCCGTCCAACTACCGGCCTATCGCCATCACCTCCTTGTTCTCCAAAACAATGGAGTCCATTGTAAACTGCCAGCTCATGAGGTACCTTGAGGATCACCAGCTGATTAGTGACCGCCAATACGGTTTTTGCCGTGGTCGGTCAGCTGGTGATCTTCTGGTCTACCTAACTCACAGATGGGCGGAGGCAGTAGTGTCCAAGGGGGAGGCCTTCAAGAAAAGAGCTTACTCCTTTCTAAAGGGCCGGCAACGCACCTGCAATTCCCCTGGTGTTGCGGTTGATCATGGGCGGCGGTAGTCAATATCAGGTGAGCCGCATGCTCGTTTGCCCCCTCTTATGTAAAAAAAATGTAGCTCGAAGAACCGACAACTAATGAGGAAGAAAGGGAAGTATAGTGTAGGGCGGCCCCTCACTAGATGAATGATGACCTCGTAAGATATGCATGAAATTGATGGATTGTGTTGTACCTTGGGGTAGACCTATATTCAACAGTGGACTTAAATGGACTGGAAAGACGGGCTGTAACTATGATTAAATATGAAGTGTGTCATACTTAACCGTCATCATCATAATTCTCTAGGTCGATATAATAAAATTCAATAATTATTTATAATTTTATTTATCAAATACGCGTGACTGCCAAATTTGTATTAATTTATTTTCTTTAAAACTATTGTAATTTTTTTAAAACATTATTTTTCATTTATGCATCACCAAGGACGTTCATTGAATAATTTATGTATTTACAGAAATTCTTGCATTTTGTAGCATTTCAATATATTTAACTATAATAAGTGCCAGAACTATGCCAGCAGCAATAAAACGGAACTTATGCATTTGAAGTTCTTGTTCACCAGTGAGTATAAAAGTAAATATGCAATTGATTTGGTCCAACCCAAGCAAATATTGTTACCAAGCATTAAAGTTATATGTGCCACGTACTGAAAGACGCCGAGACTTGGTTGTTTGCAACACGCGTTAGTTCCGCGGGCTCACACTTAGGTACTCTGTACCATAAAAAGGTACTCTATGCCTCCAACACCGTGCCCCGCACTGCAGCACAGAAATTGTTCGCGGTGCTTACTCTAGTATTTAGTACATACATATTGCTTTAATTGTAGTTCACCGCTTCAATCGTTGCCATAGAATATAAACAATTTTCCGTCAGATAATAATAACCGTTGCTGCAACATATTGGGTCGTTGCTCATGGGGGTTGTTTGCCATACTTGCCACGCTCGGCAAGCGGCTTGGCAACCGCAGATTATTGTTGTAACTTTGTTGTTATCGGAAAGATGCTACTGCCCGTCATATTGAGATACAGGAAGTTGATAGGTGCTGGTCACTCGTGACCGTTCTTTGTGGTAATCCTTGGGGAAAGCCTATTGTTTAGCAGTGGACTTGTAAAGGGCTATACTCAATTAATGATGAACATATCTGCAACTATATCAAGACTCATAGCCGATAATCAAGAAAAAGTAAAAACTCATGAAGTTGCAATACGATACTAACATTCTTTCGATGAGAATCTACTATTTCATAATATGGTAATTATATAAAAAGTAAGTTTTATCAAATAAGTGATTTTCCATAATTTCCACGAGGAGATCTTTCTATTAATTTCCACTAATTTAAAGTGCCTTGATTACGCGCTAATAGCAACAAGTCAAAACAAGCAAATAACTGGACCAATTGGGATTAAGTGTCATTCTCTTTGTGTGCAACTTCTATTTCAGTAACAACTCGATCGAAAAGTTTTAGAGTGCTAGTTACGAAACGATTAGTGTTTCTAGCTTTTAATAAATGGTGGAGCCATGCTGTAGCTATATTTTGTTTACAGCACGAATGGGTCGTCTCGACCGGGGAAGGAATACGCTGTCGCAGAATACCAGAGTAAAATAGCTTGGTGTGGATGTGCTTCGTATGGTGAGTAAAAGTAACTGGAAATACTTTTTACTACATTTTTAGTGATTTCATTAATTATACTTAATCCTCATGGTGGCAACGCATCTGCATTCAACGCATCTGCATTTTGATTCTTAATCGAAGATAGATATAGATGTCTATGGGCCACAGCATCTATTTACTATCAAGTGGACTGTGCGCTTGTTTATGAATTTTTTCTATAAATTTATGTGGAACCACTTCTGATAATTCAATAAATTTTTATTCCTATTCAATAAAAAAAATCATATATTCATACAGTAAAATGGAGAAACTTTTCCTTTTTAAAATCATTTAAAATCCTACAGCATGTTACTAATATATATAGTTGCCTGCGCCAGACATGGGAAAGCAACACTTTTAAGCCAAAAAAGAGCCCCAGCCCCTAACCTTTTTCCGTTTCTAAGCAAACCGAATATACAGTTTTAGTAACTAGTCACTTTTTAAACAGTTTCTGAAAAAGCTTCCTTGTTTATAATTTTATGCTGTTAGGTATTATGTTAAATATTTTTATGCACAGTTAATTCTCATGATAATTGCTACGAAATTTATTATGACACAAACAATTGATTATGCAATTTACCATAACCTTTTGGCACGAATTTGAAACGAAAAAAAACTAATAAAGTTTTTTTTTAATATTATAATTTTTAAAGTTTATTATAATGTAAAAGTCATGCATATTAACATGTGAGTACACTTCGTTGTTTACGTGGTAGAATCACTAGTGCTATATTAGTAGTATAGTTGTAGTACGAACGGGTCGGCTCGACCGGTCAAGGACTACGCCCTCGCATCGCATAACACATCTGCATTTTGTTTCCTAATCGGGGATAAATGTAGATGTTTATGGACCACAGCATCCACATACCATCAGGTAACTGTGAGGTGGTTTGCCACTCTTATCCTACTAAAAAATAGTTATATTGCATGTATGATCATTAACTGGATAAACCATTTTTATTTTTTCCTATTAATATTTTTTTATTATTATTATTATAATTTTTTTAGGTTCTAAATAAATATTCTAATAAAATAGTAAACGTTATAAATTTCAGTAACTCCATTAGTGTCGTTGCTCTATATAAGTTCCAGCATTAAGTCAACTAACGTCACATAAGCTCGGTCGTTTATTATTTCTGTCACAGACTTTGAGGCCGTTTACTGTCTGTCTTCCCGTCCTGTATAATGAAACATATTTTCAAACGACGTCGTACTTTATGAGTGTTTTTTTTACATTTCTTCGTATAAAGTGTTCCTTTGTCAAGAAAATTGATATTACAATGTAAAACTCAATTTATTATTACGACTGGCGACTTACTCCGGCTTCACACTGGTTTGATCATTTTTACAACTTGCTTGAATACTATAATTTACTAAGTGGTAGGATTACTTTTATGTCTATAGCTATTGTTGCAGCCATTCACTAGTGCGAGTCTTTCTGTGTTACGTTGTGAAGTCTATAAAGGGCAGTACACTTACAGACATTGAGGAATTCCATCTTAGTCCTCAGAGATGATAACGCATCTGTAGTATTCTTCGTTTGAAATTTGCTGCAGGTGTCTATGGGCTGCATGACCACTTACCATCAGGTGACCACATGCTCGTATGTCACTTAGTTTTAAATAAAAAAAAACAACTTGAAAGCCCATACTCACGAAGCTGGGAAGGCTGATTGATAAGGGCAGATAAGATTCCCTGGTATTGTAATGCTATACTGCCTCGTTGGTTTGGTGGTTGTAAAAAAAACATTCCCGGGTTTGAATCCCGGGTCAGGCCAGTTTTTCAGTCAAGAAATTCTCAGTAGCTACCCGGAGTCAGAAGTTGCAGGTGACTCACACACAAAGCACATAAAGCCGTCCTGCGCTTGATTTCTCTCTGGTCGTGTCGCGCTACCGTCCCATTGGATTAAGAGAGTGATGGAATAGAGAAAACATCTTTGCTTGCGCATTCAATTGGGCACTATGATCCGGTCCTGTGCCGGTGGTTAGACTCTATTGAGATTGTCCGTCATGACAGGAATTCGGTCTGGATGGCATTATTATTATTAATACTACTAATACTGGAATGCTGGTCCAATTATTATTAGAACTATTACTCTTCCTTAATACGGAATATCATGAATTGGGTATGTTTACTTTTGATCTTCACTTTATTCTTTATTAGACTGTAAACTTTAATTCTCAAAGTCGAGTTGCCTTAATCTTTAAGGTTGGCCTGTGGTGAAGGTTTAAAAGTATACGTTAGCCCAATTTGTACTGTTATAGATGGTATTGCAGTCATATTATGGTTTATGGTTTTTGTACGAATGGGTCTGTTCGACCGTGAAAGAACTACGATCTCATAGAAACCACGAATAGAAGCAGAGCTAGTATACTTAAAAGATATAAGACCTCTCAGTCATCGGAGTATATACTTTTTAGTTTACACAAGTTGGAGTCATGGTGCAGCTGTATTAAGGTTATAACAGTAAAGGGTCTGCTGGAGCGGGGCAGGACCGTTCTCACAGCGTAATATAGTAGCTTAATTCTTCTCTAAATAATGTGAATAAATAAATAAAGGAAGATAATAGGAAATATAGATCATTTATTCGTTTCGTATATTCGTAAGTATTATTTGTTCTACTCTACGAAAACAAAGATGGAGTAAATTCAGTTAAGTAGTATAGTCAGCTTAGCCTTAAGCCGTATTGCCAGGTCTTTATTCGAGTTTTACTTTTTATACGCAAAAACATTTAAAGAGAGGATTTTTGAAATTACAATGTGATGATATAATTTAATACAGCAGTAAAACTGAATTGAACTATATAACTTTAATCTGTATATGTTAATAAAAATTATGTGTCAGACTATCATATAGAAGTAACTGCCTTTTATCGAGCTCCCCTGAGTTCTTGTATGCCTGTTAAGACAGGAATAATTATTTCTAAAAAATTGTCCCTATATCTGTACGGGCTGATCTTCGAAATGCGTTTACTGATTCTGATGAAACTTTACAAACAGATTAAAATTGCCGTCAGGAGGGATATAGGCTATATTTTATCCAAAAAATTAAGCTTTTTTGTAATTTATATTTTTCGTTTTTACAAAAAATAAAAAATATCTTTGATTATCTATATAACTCGAAAATAGCTTTATCGATTTTGATGCTATTGTTGCGCGCCATAATTAATGCCACTAGTGCCAACTAGTATCGAGAAGCAGAACGAGAAGAGCTTTCTAGAAAATTCCCTACTAGAACTTTCTATACCTAGTCGGTTGGGACCGGTATGTGCTCCAGCATTCTAGGTGTTTCAATGGGAAAGGCCCTATATATAACGAACCCCAAGCTAATAACACTATTTTTGTGTATGTTTGGGTTCTTGGAAGGTATACATTCAAAATTGGACCCAGTAGGTGGTGCTGTTGTCGAGATCCTGCAATCACCCGTGCGAAACCGGGTTGGATCGCTAGTTTTCATTTTTTTTGGAGAGGGAAACATACGAAAAAAAACCATACGGCTCTCCTGATGTTAAGTGACTACCGCCCCCCCTTGAACAACTGCAACATTAGGACAATTATAGGTGCGTTGCCGGCCTTTAAGAAAGGAGTAAGCTCTTTTCTTGAAGGTCCTTAAGTAATAATATAAATCACATTTATTCATATTATTTAAGCGAAGCCAGAGCGGGTCGCAAGTGTAATATACAATGGATGAGTCTTGATAGTAAAAACGCTTTGTATGTGGTAATTCAATTAATGTTATTCATTTTTACCTAGAGCTTTCAATTACACAACCTTTCACGTCTTACGAGTACAACTTTTTCGCCATTTATTCGTATAATAAACATGTAACGGTGTCTGTACATTGTATATTTTTGCGACAAAAATAATTGAGTGGAACTAAAAGTACTTAAATAATTAAATTCTTAGAATTGTCTGTCTGTGTGTTTGTTTATGAATATATTACTTCTCAAGTACTATTTGTGTTCAAAATAATCTTGTATAAATCTTTATATTTTTCTTTTTCTTACTTCATTTTACTTGACTACTACTAAATTTAAACACGTGACGGCTTTGTTGTTCACAGCAGTGACGTAAACGTGACCACTGATCAAGACGTCCCGGGATCGAATCTTGGGTCGGGGTAAAAAATGTTATTGAGCTTTTCTATCAAGAAAGTCTCA